TGTATTATTCAATACCAGAGTGGACATGTTCATTTTTTTACAATCTGAATGGGATATTTTTACATGAGTACAGTAAAAGATGAGCATCAGTGTTATCATAGCAACATTTTCTACACAGAAAATAATTATTAAGGGATCCTTGTATAATAATGGAATATTGCTGAACCTTCAACAGAGACATTTCTGAGACCTTGTATAATGGTGGAGTACTGTTGAACCTTTAATAGAGACACTTCTGAGACCTTGTATGATGGTGGAGTACTGTTGAACCTTTAATAGAGACACTTCTGAGACCTTGTATTATTATTATAGTGGAATACTGCTGAACCTTTAATAGAGACACTTCTGAGACCTTGTATTATTATTATAGTGGAATACTGCTGAACCTTTAATAGAGACACTTCTGAGACCTTGTATGATGGTGGAATACTGCTGAACCTTTAATAGAGACACTTCTGAGACCTTGTATTATTATTATAGTGGAATACTGCTGAACCTTTAATAGAGACACTTCTGAGACCTTGTATGATGGTGGAATACTGCTGAACCTTTAATAGAGACACTTCTGAGACCTTGTATAATGGTGGAGTACTGTTGAACCTTTAATAGAGACACTTCTGAGGCCTTGTATAATGGTGGAATACTGCTGAAGCTTTAATAGAGACACTTCTGAGACCTTGTATAATGGTGGAATACTGCTGAACCTTTAATAGAGACACTTCTGAGACCTTGTATAATGGTGGAACACTGTAGAACCTTTAATAGAGACACTTCTGAGACCTTGTATGATGGTGGAATACTGCTGAACCTTCAACAGAGACACTTCTGAGACCTTGTATAATGGTGGAATTCTGCTGAACCTTCAACAGAGACACTTCTGAGACCTTGTATGATGGTGGAGTACTGCTGAACCTTTAATAGAGACACTTCTGAGACCTTGTATGATGGTGGAATACTGCTGAACCTTCAACAGAGACACTTCTGAGACCTTGTATAATGGTGGAGTACTGCTGAACCTTTAATAGAGACACTTCTGAGACCTTGTATGATGGTGGAATACTGCTGAACCTTTAATAGAGACACTTCTGAGACCTTGTATGATGGTGGAATACTGCTGAACCTTTAAGACACTTCTGAGACCTTGTATAATGGTGGAATACTGCTGAACCTTTAATAGAGACACTTCTGAGACCTTGTATAATGGTGGAATACTGCTGAACCTTTAATAGAGACACTTCTGAGACCTTGTAAAATGGTGGAATACTGCTGAACCTTTAATAGAGACACTTCTGAGACCTTGTATAATGGTGGAATACTGCTGAACCTTCAACAGAGACACTTCTGAGACCTTGTATGATGGTGGAATACTGCTGAACCTTTAATAGAGACACTTCTGAGACCTTGTATAATGGTGGAATACTGCTGAACCTTTAACAGAGACACTTCTGAGACCTTGTATAATGGTGGAATACTGCTGAACCTTCAACAAAGACACTTCTGAGACCTTGTATGATGGTGGAATACTGCTGAACCTTTAATAGAGACACTTCTGAGACCTTGTATAATGGTGGAATACTGCTGAACCTTCAACAGAGACACTTCTGAGACCTTGTATGATGGTGGAATACTGCTGAACCTTCAACAGAGACACTTCTGAGACCTTGTATAATGGTGGAATACTGCTGAACCTTCAACAGAGACACTTCTGAGACCTTGTATGATGGTTGAATACTGCTGAACCTTTAATAGAGACACTTCTGAGACCTTGTATGATGGTGGAATACTGCTGAACCTTTAATAGAGACATTTCTGAGACCTTGTATGATGGTGGAATACTGCTGAACCTTCAACAGAGACACTTCTGAGACCTTGTATGATGGTGGAGTACTGCTGAACCTTTAATAGAGACACTTCTGAGACCTTGTATGATGGTGGAATACTGCTGAACCTTCAACAGAGACACTTCTGAGACCTTGTATGATGGTGGAATACTGCTGAACCTTTAATAGAGACACTTCTGAGACCTTGTATGATGGTGGAATACTGCTGAACCTTCAACAGAGACACTTCTGAGACCTTGTATGATGGTGGAATACTGCTGAACCTTTAATAGAGACACTTCTGAGACCTTGTATGATGGTGGAATACTGCTGAACCTTTAATAGAGACACTTCTGAGACCTTGTATGATGGTGGAATACTGCTGAACCTTTAAGACACTTCTGAGACCTTGTATAATGGTGGAATACTGCTGAACCTTTAATAGAGACACTTCTGAGACCTTGTATAATGGTGGAATACTGCTGAACCTTTAATAGAGACACTTCTGAGACCTTGTAAAATGGTGGAATACTGCTGAACCTTTAATAGAGACACTTCTGAGACCTTGTATGATGGTGGAATACTGCTGAACCTTTAATAGAGACACTTCTGAGACCTTGTATAATGGTGGAATACTGCTGAACCTTTAACAGAGACACTTCTGAGACCTTGTATAATGGTGGAATACTGCTGAACCTTCAACAAAGACACTTCTGAGACCTTGTATGATGGTGGAATACTGCTGAACCTTTAATAGAGACACTTCTGAGACCTTGTATAATGGTGGAATACTGCTGAACCTTCAACAGAGACACTTCTGAGACCTTGTATGATGGTGGAATACTGCTGAACCTTCAACAGAGACACTTCTGAGACCTTGTATAATGGTGGAATACTGCTGAACCTTCAACAGAGACACTTCTGAGACCTTGTATGATGGTGGAATACTGCTGAACCTTTAATAGAGACACTTCTGAGACCTTGTATGATGGTGGAATACTGCTGAACCTTTAATAGAGACATTTCTGAGACCTTGTATGATGGTGGAATACTGCTGAACCTTCAACAGAGACACTTCTGAGACCTTGTATGATGGTGGAGTACTGCTGAACCTTTAATAGAGACACTTCTGAGACCTTGTATGATGGTGGAATACTGCTGAACCTTCAACAGAGACACTTCTGAGACCTTGTATGATGGTGGAATACTGCTGAACCTTTAATAGAGACACTTCTGAGACCTTGTATGATGGTGGAATACTGCTGAACCTTCAACAGAGACACTTCTGAGACCTTGTATGATGGTGGAATACTGCTGAACCTTTAATAGAGACACTTCTGAGACCTTGTATGATGGTGGAATACTGCTGAACCTTCAACAGAGACATTTCTGAGACCTTGTATGATGGTGGAATACTGCTGAACCTTTAATAGAGACACTTCTGAGACTTTGTATGATGGTGGAGTACTGCTGAACCTTTAATAGAGACACTTCTGAGACCTTGTATGATGGTGGAATACTGCTGAACCTTTAATAGAGACACTTCTGAGACCTTGTATGATGGTGGAGTACTGCTGAACCTTTAATAGAGACACTTCTGAGACCTTGTATGATGGTGGAGTACTGCTGAACCTTTAATAGAGACACTTCTGAGACCTTGTATGATGGTGGAATACTGCTGAACCTTTTAGAGACACTTCTGAGACCTTGTATGATGTGGAGTACTGCTGAACCTTTAATAGAGACACTTCTGAGACCTTGTATGATGGTGGAATACTGCTGAACCTTCAACAGAGACACTTCTGAGACCTTGTATGATGGTGGAGTACTGCTGAACCTTTAATAGAGACACTTCTGAGACCTTGTATGATGGTGGAATACTGCTGAACCTTTAATAGAGACACTTCTGAGACCTTGTATGATGGTGGAATACTGCTGAACCTTTAATGTGTTAGAAACCCGGCAGTTCCCAAGGTTCACTCAGTCTCTAGGAAATAGGTACCAAAGTTAACACTCTGGGGTAAATTGAGGAACATCGCTGTAGCTACGGAGTTACGTGCGGGCCGCGAAACAGGCGGACATTTTCTTATTAGCTGTCTGTACTGGTGGCAGAGCACTTATGGTTTATAACCGTGTGCAATGACGCCGGTTCACATCTCCCGACTTTACCTTTTACCTTTAATAGAGACACTTCGGAGACTTTGTATGATGGTGGAATACTGCTGAACCTTCAATAGAGACACTTTTGAGACAAAGTATGGCAAACAATCTAAAACACTTTTTCAAACATGTTTTGCTTTTAGTGTGCGTATCTTTGACCAGATCTATGTGAAATATATGACTCGTAAATAATAAAAAAAAAATAAAAAAAACTTGCCAAAACCCTTTGACAACCATTAACTGACTGTGTTTCCCCCTCTGAGCTACTGTCTGCAAATCTGACACCCCTTGACTAAAAAAAAAAAAAAAAGTCTCTTCATGGATGCTCATTCAACACTGCAAAATCTCAGATAGTTCATTCAACCTCCTTGGAAGTTTTAATTAGAAACGTTTGCATTCAACCTCTTCTCAAGTTATAATTAGGAACGTTTGCAACATTTACACCAAAAACTACCCTGGTATACACTGAAGTTCTGTACTGATCACTGAAACCTGACAACCTTATTTAGATTCTTCATAAAAAATACTACTTTAAAAAAAAAAAAAAAAAAGATACTGTCACTACCACAAACATTGCTTTGGCTTTCCAGTATATATATAATTAGCAGCAGAAATTCTACTATTTGCACAAATCATTTCTTTACAATCTGAGACAGTTAAACACAAACTGTATGATACAGACATGACAATCACATTGTTATGTCACATTTAACTATCATTAACAATTGGTATTGCCATTTTCCTCTTTCATATTCACTTACTGTACACTGCTCAAGTTGTACATACATTTGGCACACATCAACTTGCATTATTTCTCTCTTCTCTTGCTTTAATATTTCCCCTGAGGTAAGGTTTGACTGCACACAAAACTCACTGTGTTTTTCTCTGCACACTTCAGCTCAACAGAAAAAGCACCAGAAACATTTAGCACTAATTGCCTGTTTGTTGGCAACGCCAGCTGATTTTGCATTAACAGCTCATAGATCATTCACTCTAATCTACTAGCAGTTTGTACGACTATCAAACATGTTGTGCAGTGTTTGTACACTTGTGGCATTTAGCGGTTACAGACTGTGGAAAATGTGTTTTGATTTTGGTCTGAGTTGAAGACTCTTCATTTTTCCTATCCTGCATAGCAAAGTTGGCAGCTACTCCATCGAAATTACTTTTATTCCAATCTGGTATGTAGTTTGGCTTCTTTTGCCAACAAAGACAGCCTCGGTCCCTGGCTTGTAGGAAACCAAATACAACACTGGGGAGTTAAAAATAAATAATATATATTTTTTAATAAAACAAGCTGCACTTTAAAATCAAATTTGTAATTTCAATGGCAGTTATAACTAAACAATGTAATGATGCAAGTAATTTCTACTCATGAGTTTTGTCTTCGAGAATTACTTAATATCTGCACGTTCAATATGTGAAATTATCAACTGTTTAGTGATGGCAAACTTCAAGTTAAAGATTACCGGCACAGTATTTGGATGAGACTCTCATCCTCATCAGGTATGGAATATAAAGAATAGATTAGTTAAAAATATTGAGTTACAACATTTACTGTATGTTATAATCCAATACTTTTATGTATATAGAGTAACCTTACATTATTACACTACTATACTATTTTGTTTTATATGTGATGAAGACTATGGGACCTGCTTCTAAATTCTATTATTAGTTATTTTTTGCAGTTGCAACGGTTTTGCTCCCTAAGCTACTGAGTTGAGTGAATGTTGCTGCACTGTGAACTGTATTTTTTCACAAGGAATGTCTTTTATCTAGGTGGCGGTTGAGTCATGGTTGCCTACTGCTGACTTCTAAAGACATAGCCTCTGATGAATGAGGTGTTCAATATATGGAAGTGAGTTTAAATGGTCATGAGCAATGATTATGGTAGCCGGTTTACGTGTGGGCTGGTGAAATACCATATGTAATAATTTTACATGTGCATTTCCAGCTTATCGTGACTGACTACTTCCATCAATGAAAAACTGCATTTCTGGTGGCGACTGTTGGCTTTGGCATTTCTAGCAATTGCCTTTTGCATTTACGTATTTCTGGATTGTGTTGGGACTAATCGTTTGTTCACCAGGTTTTAAAATTGGACTGACTGGCACTGCATTTGATTTTTAGCAGCACAGAAATGGAGCAGGCTTGGGGAAACTCAATTACTGTGAGACTTCACACCATACAGGTCACGCTGTAACTGCTCCATTCCTGTGCCAGTAAAACCCACAGAATTACCATTGCTGTCCCGTGTGGTAATTAAAAATTTTAATGGACTGCAGACTTAGCAAAATCTACAACAGACACAAATACTAAATGCATAAGACAGCTGTCAGGAATGACAACATAAATGTTCCACCACCAGATTTGCAGTTCATCACTGATGGAATCAGTAAGTTAAGTGAGTAAAGGAGCCTTTTCCATGCCTTCAGACACATTGAGCTAGATTTATATTTTACAGACTAATTGGCACATGGTGGGAGATGTGGTTAATATCATGCCGACCACTTTTACTTTCCAGGACTGCATCTGAAACCCACTCAAGGCTTAATCGACCTTGAAGACAAGATCATTTTTGAAGAAAGTCCTATTCTGCCAGGATCCAAACCCACAACCTTCCAATCCTCAGGTGAGCGTCACCACAGTGGATAGAAGTAGTAATTACAACAAATCAGCAACTGCCACAATTTTGTTTAGGACACCATCAGTTCTGTGACAATAAACCACTTAACATTTTCTGAACTTTCGGTTCATATTAGAATATTTGCATTAAAAAGTTGTCATATTAACAGATTGTCTACAAATATTAAAATGAAACAATTATATAGCAATTTAACAATCATAGGCACAAGCAGAAGACACAGTTAGATATGCGCATATGCTGGAAACAATTGGGAGAAGAAAGGATTGGGTCAAAGTGTTAAAGAACAAAAAACCCACTTGTGTAGGGTTCCAAGAACACTTGGCAGAGAGTACAGGGAATGACTAGATGGCACTGAAGAATCAGAAATGCAACAACTGATTCATGACAATTTCTGCCCAGGCAATGTCTACAGATGTCTATAGATTGTTCTGTGTTGAGAAGCAGAAGAAGTGGGTGGGGGTTCACAGTGAAAGCGAATGGACGATGCTTAGTGCAACAAAGTCTAGCGTAAGATACTACAACATCTAGTTTGAGAATGGAGGTGGGGGGCAGTTTCTGCAGCTTTCTGTTGGCTTGAGAACCAGATGCACACACAGCAAAATGTTACGAAGGGTCGACAGGCATACTCCATGCAGATCGGCAAGCATAGCTTCAAAGGTTCTGGGTAGTTGGAGCTCTTGGGATATTTTCTCCTGATATGCAGAAGTGTTGGGAAATGAAAAGGCAGACTCGCTGGTTCTGCATCCACTGGTGGTAAATCTATGTATGGCAAGCTAGATGTGGTCAAGACCCTTTGGGAACAAGTGAACAATGCAGAGGCACATATTATGATCTGGAGAAAGTGACCAGGGAATGAGGTTGTCACTCTAAGTTTACTGGAAAGGCAAGAACGGACGAATAATCAAACTGCTACTGGTACCACGGCAACTGGAACTCTTTGCTGGCTGCTAAAAATGAGGACCGAGTGCTCACGGGAATGTCCTGAGATGTCAGTTCTGAACTCAAACACTTCGCACTCATATGGGGATCACGATAGTGCACTGTGGCTAGCACACTTGCCTGCCAGTTGTGGCATCACACGATAGTGCAGTGGCTAGCACACTCGCCTGCCAGTTGTGGCATCACACAATAGTGCACTGTGGCTAGCACACTTGCCTGCCAGTTGTGGCATCACACGATAGTGCACTGTGGCTAGCACACTTGCCTGCCAGTTGTGGCATCACATGATAGTGAAGTGGCTAGCACACTCGCCTGCCAGTTGTGGCATCACACAATAGTGCACTGTGGCTAGCACACTTGCCTGCCAGTTGTAGCATCACAGGATAGTGCAGTGGCTAGCACACTCGCCTGCCAGTTGTGGCATCACACGATAGTGCAGTGGCTAGCGCACTCGCCTGCCAGTTGTGGCATCACAGGATAGTGCAGTGGCTAGCACACTCGCCTGCCAGTTGTGGCATCACACGATAGTGCAGTGGCTAGCACACTCGCCTGCCAGTTGTGGCATCACACAATAGTGCAGTGGCTAGCACACTCGCCTGCCAGTTGTGGCATCACAGGATAGTGCAGTGGCTAGCAAACTTGCCTGCCAGTTGTGGCATCACACGATAGTGCAGTTGCTAGCGCACTCGCCTGCCAGTTGTGGCATCACACAATAGTGCACTGTGGCTAGCACACTTGCCTGCCAGTTGTGGCATCACACAATAGTGCACTGTGGCTAGCACACTTACCTGCCAGTTGTGGCATCACACGATAGTGCAGTGGCTAGCACACTTGCCTGCCAGTTGTGGCATCACACGATAGTGCAGTGGCTAGCACACTTGCCTGCCAGTTGTGGCATCACATGATAGTGCAGTGTGGCTAGCACATTCGCCTGCCAGTTGTGGCATCAGTGACTCTGAATCCCCATCATAAACACAAGACATGGCAATATGAAGACAGTAGTGGAAAATCTAAAGAAAGCAATACTGCATGCAAGATTTCGAGAGATAAAAGAAAACAATTACAAACCATACTGGAGCCAAGAACTACAGATTCTAGACAAAAAGATGGAAGAGGCCAGGAAGACGGCAGAGAGAAAACAAGCAAGTGAAGCAAACATTTCACTGAAAGCCATCTCTGCAAAATACAAGAGTGTTAAATCAAACAACCAGAAATTCCTAGTGAGAAAAAAAACAGAAAACCTGAACTCATCAAAGATGAAACAAAAAATTTCTGGAAACTAGTAAATTTTTGCCCGAGCAGCGCCTTTACACTACTTTTTTAGATTTCCAACTGCCAAGGAATTATTTTACGTGCGCAACAATGCACACGGGCGAGTGATCTCAATACCCAGAGATGAAGGGAAATTACTAGAAGTCCAAGTCCACATGAAACAATTCTAGCCTTCACTGGGGATTGAACCAGGAACCTCTAGCACTCGAGGAGACCACCACACCTTGAAACCAAGCAGCCCCCTAGATGAAATACTGTGCTAGTGCAAACAACAATGATATCTTTGCAGAACACAAAAAAGCAATAAAAAAAAGATCAGGCATGACACAGAGAAATTAGAACTTATGTTGCAAATTTAAATATGGAAGAGCTACAACAGGCTTGGAAACAGCAGCACCTGCCTAAGTTGATAGAAAATATTCCTGGTATTGAGAAAAAAGAACATGAAACAGAAAGAAGGAATATCACTGTAAACTACATAGAAAAATGATACTCAAGTAACACCAGGACTCATGCATTGACAGATGGATCAGCAAAAAACTCAAGAGAAAATAAAGGTGGGGGAATTGTACTGAATGAAAAATGGATCAAAAGAAAACAGTCTGTTGTGACCAGAAAATTCTCAAGTAATTTTAGAGCAGAAGGGGAGGTCTTGGGACCTGCAGCAAAAATGCTTCTGTCAGAGAAACAATAAAGAGAAACACAAAGCTATCTTTACAGATGTGAAGACTATTATCACAGTATTAAAGAACAAAAAACAATAAAGAACTAGCAGACCTTAAAGCAGCACTCCATGGACATAGTAGGAAATAAAAAAAAGTCGTAGTACAACGAATACCAGCCCATTGCAACACACCTAGCAAAGAAGAGGCTTGACAGATTGGCAAAAGAAGGTGAAAGACTACCCCAGCTTGACAAAGACATAACATATTATGAAGCCAAGAGGTTTATAAGAAGTAACTATTTCATCAAATAGTATTCTGAACACCCAGACTTCAAGAAGGATAATGCATACTATCAACTTGGCCAAAGAAAACAAGTAGTGATATTTAGACTCTGTACAGGACATAACTAGTAGAAACACCACTTGTTCAATAAGCTAAAGATAGGAGACACTGATGACTGTAATTATGGAAAAGGTAAAATGACAGCTGGACACTTGCTGCAAGAGTGTCAAACATATGTAGAACAGAGAAAATTATTCTAGTTGACACCCACAACTTTTAAGGACAGATTCTATGGAGATGTCAACAACCCCAAATTGACTGCTGATTTCTTTAAATATATCCACCTTGACATCAGAAGGTATAAGAGGAAGAGAACTCATGGATTCTCAGAGCTGAGAGTCCCTAGAAATGCAAAGTTCATAAATGATGAGGTGGTAAGAACATGAAACAGACCCTTCTGTCTATTTACTGCCACACTGGATGCCCCTAGGTATCCATGTCTGAAATGACATATGAAAATAGAATGGACGCGGAAGTTCACTGAAGTAAAAGTCTAACACACAAAAGAAGCAAGCAGTACTCATTTGTGCAGGTAATAATAATCACAGGTCTGCAGGCTGCCTACTGCTGACTTCTAAAGACATAGCCTCTGATGAATGAGGTGTTCAATATATGGAAGTGAGTTTAAATGGTCATGAGCAATGATTACTTAGGTGAGCGGAGTACCAGAGCACTGTGTATTGGCTCTGCATTTATGGAAGCCTCCTTGGATGGCAGGGAATGCTTGTGTTCTGCCTCTACCTTCTCTTGAGGACTGACTAGCATTACATGGTTTCTGTGACATGGGAAAGATGATCCCACAATAATGAAACTGCAATGACCCACACAACTAACCAGGAAAGCTAACCCGATCAACAAATGCTTTCAGAAGTCAGATGACTCGACTGAAAGGTGAAATTATCGCAGCCAATCTGTAATTGGGCACAACATCTTCAGATGAACGCAGAAAAAAAAATCTCCATAAAGTTTAAACAATTTTTTTTTTAAATTTACCATTTCTGGTACCCATTTTAGGTTGAGCCCTCTAGGCCAACAGACAACATGTGGCAACAGCTCTACCGCAGTAGCCTCGCTATACAACAAATCTATAGGAATGGTTCCTACCTGAACAATAATATTGCAGCAAGGCAGATGATAATAGCCCAGGCTAGGTGTTTCATGACATCTGGATCCAGCAGGTCCCAGATCATCTTTTTCTCACACATCTCTCCTTTCCGCTCGAATCCGGAAGCACACTGGAAGCAGTCGGCAGCCACTGAAGTTTTACAGGTCAAGCATGAAGGGTGACAAGGAACGCAGATCCCCTGAAAACACATACAAGCAAGACAGAAGGTGAGACATCAGACAGGCCTGGAGAGGGTGGGGTTTGGATGTAAAACAAATGACGATATCCGACAGGTTAGAAATGAGAATAGGAAACTAAGTCTCTAAAACAAACATGACTGTTCTCTTCTGAATTTTCTCTAGTCTTGAAATCCTGCCTGGTGTGAGCAATGACAAGTGCTGCATCAATGCTGGCCACCAATCCATTGCTCACATGGCTAACTTCTAGCTCTGCTTCCACTGTGTTTAAGTGACAGGGCTCTCCATAGTTACTGTCCATTACTAATCCCCACTAAGTCATTGAAGTAGCATTAATGCTTCAGCCCAGTGGTCTCCAACTTGGGGTGAGGGGGAAATGTCCCTCTGGAGGATGCAAGGAAGTTTCAAGGGGGTCATCATGTAATTTTGAAAACTCAATCCATTTGTATTAGTAGTAATCCATTTTAGTATATTTTATTAAAGTTTAATTATAAATAAAATACCAAAAATAAAAAAAAATAAAAACTATTCATAAACCAAAATGTTAAGGACATATTTTTCTTAAGCAGTTTGTATATCTACAGTTAAAAAGAGAACAGACATTTCTAGATTAAGAACACATAACATATTCTGACCTAAACATTATCTCCACAGTTTTCCTTGCTGCGGAATCTATTGTCCTCCTCTTTTTAAATCACTATGTGGGGGGGGGGGGGGGGGGGGGAGGGCATAAGGGCCTTGCCACTCAAGAGTGGTGTGGGGTCTTGCCATATCGTCAAGTGGGGAGCAGGGGTCGTACCATATACTTAAGGAAGTGGGGACATATGGAATAATTCAATACGTAGAATTGAATTGAACCTTATACATAGAATATGAAGAATGATGTCAAATGTATTTTTTTTTTTAAATCATTGGGTTAGTGGGGGGGGGGGGGGGGGGGGGGGGGGGGGGTGTCCCAGGTTCACAGCTTAATTTCACTAAGGATTTTCATTGCTAAAGGGTTTTAAAAATACAAATAAGATAGCAGCTTTAAAGAAAAGCCAAACAGTGCTTCTAAAGACAGAGCTTATGAAAAAGACAAAAGGTTATAAAGAAGTTTAAATGGATATGGGCAAATATTTGTATGGCTTAGTAGGAGAAGTAGACATAACAGCAGCAGAAGGAAACATCAGAGATCTTTATACTACAAGGGAAAAAAAAAAAGGGGGGGGGGGGGCACATATAATAAACCAAGTATTTTCAGGTTGTTTTATCCCAGATTGAGATAAACTTACCTGTGTGTGCAACAAAGGCTTGGTAAAATTGGGATTGGTGAGTGAGGCCATCTGAACTGCCTGAACACTCCCAAAGAAATGCTGGGGACAGTGGGCGATGCAGGTTTCTCCAAACTGGAAGAAACCAGGTTTACATTCTGTGGAAAAAGACAATATTGTGAAACTAGAATCTTTCGTATCCAAAAACAAGTCACGCTTTCAGTCCCAAAGAACGCATCATGTGTTTACAGATTCCTACGTAGAAGCCCAATGAATGCAAGATGCACCGATTTTAGGTCTCTTTTTACCTCTTGGGCCTCTGATGTTAAACCAGCTGGAACTTAAAGAGTTGAAGAAGAAATCTTCAACCATACAGAAATAGTCAAACATTTTAACTGAAGTCTTTTACTAATCAGGACAATTACAAGTTACAACAGTGAGAAAAACCAGACGAACGCTGATGGTGACAAACTGGCATGGTTTACGGACTATGATTTATGGAACATGGAACATACGATGCATTAACGGGAAGGAAAACAAGTTAGTAGGGGAGATGAGGAAAGAAAAATTAGGAGCCTTGGCTCTGACTGAAACCAAGAAAAAGAGGCAAGGAATCACAGCTGATGATGGAAGTATGATGCTCTATAGTGGTGTTCCTATGATGGAGAAAGCCAAGGAAGGTGTTGGCTGTATTATGGCCAGGAAACAAGTTAGTAACATTAATGGATGGAAATTCATTTCGGAGCGAATTATGGTGTTAGATCTGAAAGAAGAAGATACAACTGTCAATACTGTCATTGTGAATGGGCCAAATAAAGACCAGAAGAACTACTCCAAAGGACCATAGATGACTTTCATAATGAAATTATTCTCCTAGGAGATCTCAATGCCAGAGTAGGAAATGATCACTCTAGATGAGGTGGAGTGATCATGGAATATGGTGAAGATGTCCTGAATGATAATGGCAAGTGACTTCTCAGATTCTGCAGGGAACAGAAAAAAAAATACAATATTCCAATACAAATGTATACATGAATACATAAGAAGTGAACTTTCAAAGAATGAGAAATCCATAGGACTGAAGGCAGCTATTGAGAAGATTAAGCTGGGGAAAGCAGCAGGACATGATGGTATAACACCAGATTTAGTCAAATATATAGGAGTCAAAGGTGAGTAACTTCTACTGAAGTTTCTCCAGGCAGCCTGGTATAGCAAAACTATACAAAATGATATGGAGATTGCCATCATTATACCTATATTTAAAAAGGGCGATAACAGACAATATAAAAACCACAGAAGCATATCCCTCCTTAGGGTTCCTCGTAAAAGTTACTCTAGAATTCTCGAGCAGAGACTTAGAAGTCTGGAAGAGCCACAGCTGGACCAGGCGCAATGTGGCTTTAGAGTACTCAAGTACTCAAGACCTTATCATCACATTCAGACAGATGAGTAAAAAGACCCTTGAATATAAGAGTGAGATGTTTTTTGGATCTAGAAAAGGCATTTGATAAGGTCCCTGGAGCAAGCTCTGGGATGTTTGACAGGGAAAAACATCCCAGCACCCCTGATCAGTGCAATAAAGAGTTTCTACAAAAGCTGCAGAAATTATGTAAGAACAGCTGACCAAAATTCAGAAGAATTTAAGACCACTAGCAGTGTTAGACAAGGTGATATTCTCTTACTTTACCTCATCAATCTTATGATGTATAATGTCATCAAGACCTGTAAGGAGAAGACAAAGAAGTACTCAGTAGGGTACTTGGAAGATGAGACTAATCAGTATATCAGAGCTGGCATTTGCAGACAATGTGACCCTGATAGCTAAATAAGAGGTACACTTTCCGTCCAACTTACTTGTCTGGAAAGAAGAACTTGAGAAGAGAGGCATGAACATCAGTATCTCCAAAACTAAAACCATGGTGATCTCAAGAGAGTAGAAACAAACAATAGATCATGATGGGACAGTGTGCATTGGAACAGGTCAACCAGTTCAAATACCCTTGGGTTGTAATAGACCGAAACGGAGGCATTAGGACTGAGCTGGCTAAAAGCAGCTGCTGGGAGCTCTTTCAGGCCATAAACTTTTGAACATGTATGCAGAATGGGAGAAAATCAGCCACCATGGCAGGCATGGGAGGCTGAGAATCAGGGAACCAGACCTCCAGGGCAACCCAGGGTCCACTGGGAAAACAACATCTGACAGCCCCTAGCTGACAAAGTACTGGAATGAAATAAAGCCAGAAGGAAAACTGCTGATAGAGATGTCCGGCGATCTCTCTGGTAAACCACCACACCCCAAGGTAGAAGAGAAGTGATTAAGTAAGTAAGTCTTTATCAATCAGCACCAACACAAGAAGAAGAAGAATCCTAATCTTAGACCCCAACACAAGGAGATCATGTGGACCACCCCCTTACTTTCCGTAAAAGCTGGTGCCTAAGATTGCCTTTGTTGTTGTGGTGCTTGCTGATAAAGACTTTGGCCGAAACGTTTGATTGTTGTAATGTGTGTTCTCCCTAATTATTTGTTTTCTAGTTTATGCTCAGTGCATTTATTTCTTGATTATCAGCTCAAATGCAGTCACTCTGTTGCCATTCTTATCTCAATATACAATGGAGCTCCAACATCCGTCCTCCCCACAGAAAGGATTAATGATAAAAATTAGAGTTCCACTGTACTAACTCATGCAGTTATGCACACATATATAGCATGCTTATCAAGTGTGCACAGGCAATCAGCTCTACATTGCATTTCACTGAATGTATATGCACCCTACCAGAACAGGAATAGACTGTGGAACTGGAACTTTCCAGGAGTATTACACTGACACTGTGCATGAGCCATCAGTTTTAGGAAACATGGACTAGTATGTCTTGATTTTATTCTGATCTAGTGAGGTTTTATAATGAAATGAAGTGAATTGTCTTACAGTTCTTCATAATTATGTGGAAATCTGTGTGGTGATTGCATCAATTCAAATGATGATCATTTAAATTACACATAGGATTATTAAAGATATAGAATTATTTGTTAGGCGGCCAATGCAGATCACACCACCCTCCAAGGGCCAAATGGTCTACAAAAATATGAGGCTAACATATGTTTGATGTGCCTCTGGTGCATTAAAGGGGGCCTTTACTTGAATCTGCAGCAATGGCAAACTACTGAATGTAAAACTGCCTAGTAAAACCATAAACAGCCAATAGATGCTAGGGTTGCTTTCTGTGGTCCTGAAGAGGATATGCAACTAACTGTATCTCATATCACAATAATGAGACTCCTACTCAATGAGAATCACACTAATCCACACAATATATAAATACTTCTAAGGTACAGCACGTGAGAAGAATGTTAAAGATTAACCTATACAGATGCTATTGGTCACAATTCCTAGACATGGCAGGGGCTGGGACTTGTGGACATTATCATCACTGGAGGCAGGTGTCCCGTTACGTTTTGTGTGGTGAGTGGAGGAGCCCATCATGACAAGCGTCCATTCCTTGAGCTCAGCTGCAAGCAGAGAAAACAAACACAAGCAAGCTGTTAGTGGAGGTCCAATCACTAGCAGACTGTTAGTGGAGGTCCAATCACTAGCAGACTGTTAGTGGAGGTCCAATCACTAGCATGCTGTTAGTAAGAGTCCAATCACTAGCAGGCTGTTAGTGGAGGTATAATCACTAGCAAGCTGTGAGTGGAGGTCCAATCACTAGCAAGCTGTGAGTGGAGGTCCAATCACTAGCAGGCTGTTAGTGGAGGTCCAATCACTAGCAGGCTGTTAGTGGAGGTCCAATCACTAGCAGGATATTAGTGGAGGTCCAATCACTAGCAGGCTGTTAGTGGAGGTCCAATCACTAGCAGGCTGCTAGTGGAGGTCCAATCACTAGCAGGCTGTTAGTGGAGGTCCAATCACTAGCAGGATATTAGTGGAGGTCCAATCACTAGCAGGCTGTTAGTGGAGGTCCAATCACTAGCAGGCTGTAAGTGGAGGTCCAATCACTAGCAGGCTGTTAGTGGAGGTCCAATCACTAGCAGGCTGTTAGTGGAGGTCCAATCACTAGCAGGCTGTTAGTGGGAGTCTAATCACTAGAGGCTGTTAATGGAGGTCCAATCACTAGCTAGCTGTTAGTGCAATTACCTTCTCTCTGGGCACTTCAAACACTTTGCTAAAAATATGCACATATGTTCTATAGATAAAAGCTACTTAGATCAAATACAAAAATGTACTGAATTTATGTTAGCTAATCTTAGGCAATTGTAATAAAATCGATATATCCCATGTTTTTGATGACTAAAATGTCCTCAAGCTTATATCACAAATTGTAACTAAGTATAGTTTTTTAAAATCATTTCTCCAGTTAATGTGATAGTTTAAAAGAAAACAAATTTCCAAACTTTAAAGCCTTGCATATCATAGCTAGTATTAAACATACCGCCTTAAATAATTTAAATAATGTGTAGATGAACAATGTATTCTGCATCACTATTATATAACAGTAACAAGACAGACAGAGAATTAAATAATTTTGTAACATGCACATTACAAATGAGAAAAACAATGGCAGACTGTCATCAGCTTCCATAAATCTAGCTAGAAGAAACAGTTACTGTTTCAGAATTGTGGTAGCAGTTAGTTACAGCATCTACTGCACAATTCATGCAGATAAGAAATAAGCAGTGAAGCAGACGACAGTTCTACGACAGCTGATGCTTAACTAAGCAGCTGGAAATGAGTGAAAAGTTCAGCTGGGTTTGTTAGCATTATCATGTGTCCCAGGTGAATGAAAGGGGACACCAAATTTGATATTGGTGTGGATGCTATTCTCAGGTTTATTATATAAGCCACATCAATCTAAACTTTCGGACTAATTTAAGGTATGTGGGGGTAACCCAAGGGTGCAATTTGAGTGAGTTGTGGGCTGTCACTTGTGTCGTGCCCAGGTCTACTTACACTGGCAGTCACTAGTGTCAGATGACATTTCTGCTAGTTTAAACAAGGACAAGCTCTAACAAGCCACAGAAATAACCTGACCCAACCCTTCACTGCAAGATAAAAATAGAATTACAAAAGCAATTTAAAGTAAATATATACAGATTCACAGAATGCAACAATTCATCGGGGAAAACAAACATATTTATAACACTTATCAAACATACAGTTTCCTGAACCGTAAACATAATAATTATGATTGAATACTGCTCCTATATTCAGCCTAACTAAAAGGGGTAATATATGCTTGTCAATGTTATGAATACACTAGCCGACCATTTCTATGAGGCTATAAGTTGTTTTCTCTGCTGCCCCCTCCCCCCAACCCAATATAAAGCAAGCAGCACTCTTGCCCCAGCTCAAGGCATAGTGGGTGTTAGGTGTTGGCTACTTATTTGTATAGACTTATTTGTACAGGCTTTGGAGGAGTCAAATGGTTAATTAACACCACACTGGCTGCCTTTCTCTCCAGAACATATCCAGGGACCTCAATTTGCATGGGGTGGCTTAGAAGCCCTGGCTGATTGTGGAAAAACATCACCACCATGAACAAACTCATGGCCACCAGGCTGACAGGCAAAAGTGCTAGCCACCATGCCATTGTAGCTTCCTGAATATAGTAAGGCAATATTTCCTCATTGTGATTTTTAACAAAGAAGACAGTGTAGTATGCATCTAACCAGATACAGCGAAATATGCCAGGCAATAAACTGTGCAATCTACTCTGTGTGTGTGTGTGTCTTCTTTATTCAAAATAATTTAGAAATTAAAATAGCCACAAATGTCAAACTTACTGCAGGCTGAACCATGTGGGTTCAAATAGCATTTTTTTGTTTTTGTTTTATAATGTATGTGTATTATAAAAACATAGTAGGCAAGAATCTACTGAGACTCTTGAATAGGAATTAGCTTGTATTTTCTTAACATGAACAACAATGAATGCACAGGAAATCAGGCAGTTGATGTGTCACGTAATGCAAACTTTGTCAATGACTCAATAAAGTTGGGACAAGCAATCAGGCACTATAGGATTAAAAAAAAAAAAAAAAAAGCAGTCACTACACACAAAACATGCTTGTTTGTTACAATAAATACCAGGCCACAAAGGCAATCTGATGTTCACACATTCACAATGCAAAACATAAATTACAATGCATTCTCAAAACTCTATTATAAAAAGAGACAACTTCCATTAGGCATATAGTAAAAGCTAACTGACCATTTTGTTAAATCAGATGTGTCGGGTTATTGTACAGCTGTAAACTACAACCTAATGTGACAACTACCCTTTAAAGGGCAAATGCTGTTTATGAGCAGAACTTGTAGTCTCAGCGAATAAATAATCCTAAGTATGTGGTGCGTTTTTTATCACAAACCGATTTTTAAAAAGTATAACTAAGAACACTGCCCCTATCATTTTTAGAAACAGTATTTCTTCTTCTTCATTCTCTACTGACTATTAATGACCAATATTTTCTATAGGTCTATTGGGTCACAAACTGGAAGTTGCCCTTGAGGTCTTCACAGGGCCCTCAGTTTGTCTGGAAGGGTTGCTCCTCTATGCCAGATTTCCTTTCCTGGCTATAATCTTGTAAGAAATAGTCTGAGATTTGTTCTGGGTGCCACATCAGCATGCAGCAGAGTCAGTGAGACCACACAGTGATCGTGGGATCAGAGTTGACATAGTTCTGCAATTACCTTCTCTCAAGTTCATCTTCACAGAATGTCTTAGGACTGGCTTTGTCTCTTTAAAGCTCTTGGACTGGCAGAAATGTAAAACCTTTATCACTGATTTTATAAAAGCAGTTTAAAAAAACAAAAACTTTTCAGTTTGTAAACTGTCATCAAGTTGATCAGCCCTTGACAAGTTCTGTTGTTTTGTGTTTGTGTGGGCTGAATCATCAGTAATGTTTCAGTTATTTCCGCTACAGTGAGCTGTTGCCATGTTCCTCACACAAACACAGTCAAACGTGATCCACAGACAGATGCTTCCACACGAATGTAAATGAACAGGACTTCACATATATTAGGTAAGGGTATGAAATTAGTTGACCATTACTTTTCTTAGCAAAATCCCTACCCAGAGACATAAAAATTGTACAAGACATCTTCAGTATTCCAGACACCGAGGTTCCTCTGCCCTAGATATCACTTGCTGCCATGTATTCTCTGAATGGCTTTGTCTCTGCAGTTGCTGACTCCAAGTGTTGGTAGATCTGCAGGTATTTTATCTCTCTACAATCTTCTTGGTCTGCCTCATGATGCAAGAAAAGACTCATAAAGAGATGTAGTTGGGTAAAGAAAACAACCAGGTGAGCAAATCATTACCTGATTGCCTGTATCTTACTCTTCTTCACTTCCTTTTTTCCCCATGTCTAGTGTTGAAGGAGATATAAGGTTCTACTTCTTGCTCTTCTGGCCACTTCAAACACAGACATATTGGACTGCTGAAGAGTTTCTCAGATTTTATATCTTGTTCTTGGTCTACCTCGTGCTCAAAGTCCCTCTTCCCTTTTGGTGTATGCCTCATATGGTATGAAGTAATGGTTAGTGTACAATGATTGATAGTACAATAAATTCTTAACCCTATTGCTTTAGTAGTAGGTGAGAGAAGCTCAAACAGAGATCAAGTTTTCACAAGAATAAATGGATAACAGTGCAGCAGTGGCTTTTCTGGTGACAGCAGCAGGAAATGACTGTCAAATATTCCTTCCATTATAGATATCATGAAAATAATACCACAATAACTTGCAAAGTAAGTCTGTGAGCAAATGACAAACTTGAGATTATAACCTATGAGTCACTTAAGAAGACCTGGAACAAAAGAACTGTAATAAGAGACTGGCAAAGAGCTTTTATAGTACTAATATGGAGAAGAAAAGGCAATAAGTAACACTTATAGAGGCATCTCTCTCTTAAGCCAAGTAGGTAAAATGTTTGCCAAGATTCTGGAACAACGAATCAGAACCGATTCTGAGCCCAGTACAGGCCAGATTGAAAATAAGATAGAACACAGACACCAAATGAACATGGCTTTTATAGATCAAGAAAAGGCTTTTGACAGAGATTTACTATGGGATGTCCTTGAAAACTAAGTTTAAATGGGACTGTGCTAGATTGTGTAAGAGCTATTTATAGAGAAAGTGAAAGTGCCATCAGAACAAGAGCTGGCCTCACAGACTGGTTCCCAGTAACATCAAGAGTAAGGCAAGGCTGTGTTCTTTCCCCTTTACTTTTTACAATATTCATGAACAATAATACTAAAAAAAATAGACATAACACAACCAGATGTTGATAACAGGAAGATTTAAATGATCTGCTCTTTGTGCTCCTTGCCGACGATCAATGCATATTCCACAGTGAAAGTAAACAGCTGCAGGACCACATAAAACAACTACATGACAGTTGCCTTAAACATCACATGAAGATCAATACTGAAAAAGCAGAAGTCACGAGAATAAATAGGGAGCAACAAACCATCGACACAAAGATCAAAGTCTGAAACAAGTGCAAGAATTTAAATACCTGGGAAGCATCTTTACATACAAAGGCAAAATAGACAGAGAGATAGAAGCGAGAATAAAGTAAAGGCAAAGTCGGGAGATGTGAACCAGCATCATTGCACACGGTTATAAACCATAAGTGCTCTGCCACCAGTACGGACAGCTGATAAGAAACTGTCAGCCTGTGTCGCCGTCCGCACACAACTCCAAGCTACAGGGACGTTCCTCCATTTACCCCAGAGTGTTAACTCTAGTACCCATTTCCTGAAGTCTGGGTGAACCCCGGGAACCGTCCGGTTTCAAACACCGGCCGTGGGCTGCAGTGAGTTGCAGCTGGATGAAAGCGAGTCTCCTATCGACTGCGCTAACCAAGCAGCCAACAATGTCATGTACCAACTTCGTCCAACTTTAAAATGCCCTGCTATCCCAATAGAGACCAATAAGACAAGTCATAAATACAATATTTTTACTGACTTTAGGTTACCAGTGTCAGACTTGGACACTGACAAAAAACTTGAGAGAAAACTAACCACCTGAGAGCTGAGATGTTTGAGAACGGCTGTGAATAAAATTAAATAAAGAACTGTTGGAACAACACCCATCATCAAATTTATTGAAAAAAACAACAACAAATGAAATGGTTTGGCCACCTAATAAGAATGAAACCAACTATGCCAGCAGCAAGAGCATACAATCTGAAAATCAAAACACAGCGAAAGTCCTAGAAGAAGATGGATTGAAGGAGTCACTGACACCCTGAGACTGCATAACATCACAGCATATCAAGCAACCGAGTGCACCTTGACTTGGCTGCCGATCGTCTGATGAACTGCGACGCCTACTGGCATAAGCAGATATTGACAGAAGAACTCACTTAAGAGGCATACATTTTAGACTTCTCGCCAGTCATTAGTTGTAAAGGGAAACATATACCTGGCTGCCATGAGATACAAAGATAAGTGTATTTGTGTAGTATTGTCTAATCAATGTATGTGCTGAAGAAGGCTCCATAGACGCAAAGATCACGTTGTGTTTGTGTTTGTTATACTATAAAGCTCGCTGATATACTTTTCGTTCGGTTTTATATCTTTCCTAAATATTTACATATGTTTAAGTGTGAGTGAAAGTATTCCAGCAAAGGATTATTGGATGAGTTAACATATCCATTTGTTTACAGCCAGCATGTTACTGGAACGCTCAGACTACAAATTATGACATTTAATAAGAGGCATGGAGCACTTTTGTGTTTGAAGGAAAAATTTAGATGTCAACTGATCAACAAATATAATGGGCCAAATATGCAGAAGATGTCCGTTAGCATCCTCAACTTATTTTAATCAACATTTCTATGGTTTATATGATTTGATTTGATTCAAGAACCGACATCACAGCACTCGGGGCATTCCCATAAGTGCTCCGTCCCCATCTTCAGCAGCAGCGAAGAGTTCCAATACTAATGGTGCCAGTAGCATTCTGATTAAATGTCCGTCTTGAGCCTCGAGCATCTGCCAGAACCTCTCGTCACCCCCAACTGCATCAATCTCACCAGACTGTGGTGATCCATCTGCTCCTCTGAATTGTACATGCTCTCCCACAAGGCACTAACCACGTCTGCCCTATCATGTATCAATATTCCACCAAGTTGTGCAGAGCCAGCCAGTCTGTCCGCCTGTTCATTTCCAAACACACTGGCGTTACCCGGTGAAAAAATCCAGACAATACTCCTCACTCGTGCCCTCCGCAGTGAAGCATGCCACGCTGCACTAAGCATACCTGTTCTGATCTTCCTCAGCATGCTTTCTGAATCAGTTACAATCACGATGTGTGTGTGTGTGTCGTGTTCTCTAGCCAGCGGAAAGCTGCAGTGACCGCCTCCACCTCCATTCTTAAGCTGGATGTTGTGGTATATGTTAGGCTCTCCTGCACCAAACGTCGACCATTAACTTTTGCTAAGAAGCCCCAAGCACTTCTTTTGCCTCTTGACACTGAACCATTTGTGTAAATTATCAAATCCTCTGAGCGAGCATTATCTTGAATTAATAGCTGAATTTCCACCTTTGTGGTACCTGCTGCCCAGTCTCTGCATTCCCGGCTCAGCGTGATTATGCCTCTACACCTCTATGACCCTTAACTGCACCCAGTGCTTCATGCAGAGGGTGGTCTGTGTCTGCAGCTACCCTGAGATATGACTTCGCCTGCAGCACCTTGTGCCTACCTGCAACCGTCGGCAAACCAAGGATGTATCGCATACACACAACTGGGGTGTCTCTGGTGCAACCCAGAATGACCCACACAGCCGTGTTCTGTATGCGCTCTAGTTTATCCATTTGACTCTTTGAGACGGTAAGGGGTCCCAGACCATAATCCACCACTGACAGGATCAGGTGCTGATATAGTGTGAAAAGCATTTGCTGCTCTATGTCAATTGCAGCCATAGTCTTAAGTGCACTAAGTCCTTTTTGGCATCTCGTCACAACACTCTCCACATGGTCCTTAAATGACAGGCTCTTGTCAAATGTAATTCCCAGATACTTCAGTTTGCTCTCTCTGTTGACGTTTCTACCATCTATCATGAGACTTGCTTGTAGTTTTAACAACTCTGTTGTCCAGAGAACACCACAAAACAGACGCCTTTTCCGGGTGGACGACAGCCCACATTTCTGTACACCACTCAGTCACTTTGTCTACTGTCACTGTAGCTCCCGGGTTGTTTATTCCCTCTCTTCCCCCTGCCTATATGCAAGTATATCATTTGCAAAAGTCAGTATCCTTCCAACTCCTGGTACTTCTAGGCTTGCAATCTTGCTCGTATACACATTGAAAAGCACAGGCGAGATGGCGGATCCCTGTGGCAGTCCTGGGGCCAAAGTGCATGATTCTGAGGTCCATGAGCCCAGTCGGAGAGCAACCAGACGTGAATGCAGGACAGCTGAAACCTAATTCACCAGCCATAGATTGACCTCCTTCTCCTTCAGTGCAGTCATTAAGATGTCGTATCTCACTCTTATAAGCATCCTCGAGATCCAGTCTTACTGCCATAGTTCCCTGTCTGTTCTGGAACCCTTCATAGACGTCAAAAGCAAAAGTGGCTGCATTTGCCCAAGTGTCCTTTCCTGGCCTGTAGCTTTCCAGACCTCTTGGGAGAAGCTTCCCCCTTTAAAAAAATATGGTTTATATGATAAATTTGACTTTTATATGCTGGCTGAATGATATTTATTAACAGTTTACTTTCTTATTATAAGGTGCTAAATGCTGATGTCCTTCAATTGATGCTATATAATATTGGATTCACTTCCAGTATGTCTTAAGTGACAAGGCTCTCTATGGTGCATTATCTTATGGATGTCCAAACCATTTTATCTGTTCTCTCATGATGTAGTTTACTACTGGTTACATCCTATTTTCTTTCCTCATATCCTCATTTCTGATCCTGTCTCTTCGAGTTAAGTTAGGATTCACCGTAGACATTTCATTTCTATTGTTTCAATTTTTTTTTCTTGTATTGTTAATGTCCATATCTGGCATTGGTAACACAATGTTGGTAAAATAATTACTGTACTGAACAGTGCTCTTTTGGTGTCAGTTGTTACATGTTTTTCCTGCAAAAAATTATGACATTTGTCCAATGATCTGATTCGCTTTACTACATTCTATCTCTGCTTCCATTTTTCCATAGTATAATATATTATGCTCCTTAGATACTTGAAGTCTTTTGCTGGCTTCAGTTGCCTGTTTTCTATGCATATCTTGATTGGCTACTCTGTTATTGATATTGTCATAACTTCTGTTTTTTTTTATAGTTAATTTCTATGTTTTCTGCTTTTGCAGCTATGTTGAGAATATCCATGTATCTCTGCGCTCTTCCTATGTAGCTGCCAAGAGGACTGGGTTGTCTGCAAAGAGGAGTTGCATTTTCCCCCTGTTAATTTGGAATGCTCTGGTGATTTGATCTATATACGTACATCTCTGGCAGACTCCAGATTGTAAACATAACTCTTCTGTCCCTACAGCTTTAGATCTCACTACACCTTAGCTATTGTAATTTATACATTTATATATATTTATTAGAAACTGACCCACTCCATAGAACCTTGATATTTTCCAAAGTAGCTGAAACGGTTGACTAACTCCAATTATTTTCTTGATCTATGTATGACTGTAATATCATTATATTTTACACACTTATCTAAAGACTTCAGTTCTCATTCATCACACAAATTACTCTCCAGTGAGCAGAAATGATAAAATGAGTGAAACATGCAAATAAGAAAATGTCACGTACAACACACAAGCAATGTGAGCAGTCTAGTCTATACCAGAACAATTCTACAAAGATGAACAGCTTTCACTATGAATTATATGTGTTATCCTTAGCTCACCCATTTCATTTTTAATGCACCAGGTGTTTTTATCCTTAGTACATCTATCTCACGTCTGATATGCCATATGTTTTTATCTTTAGTACATGCAATCATGCCTGATAATCATGTTTTTATCCTTAGTACATGTATCTAATGTCTGATATGCCATATGTTTTTATCTTCAGTACATGAAATCATGCTTTTATCCTTAGTACATGTTTCATGTAATCATGTCTGATATATGTTTTTGTATCCTTATTATGCACAGTCATGTCTAGGAAAATGATAAACATTACAGATAAAATCTAGCAACAATTAGTTCCATGTTTACACTATTATGGTGTTTTATAAAAACTGTTGATATAAAACTAGACAATTTATTTAGTTTTTAAAACTGCTGAGAATACCTGACAGCAATGTGATCTATAACAGGTGGCTGAATGTTATTTCTGCTAAACTGGGTGCCAACCTTAGTTGCCATGCAGTATTCTGACAGTCAAGCACAGTCAAGAGCCAAGGAAAGAATAATATCAAGCATGAAAATTGACAACACCAGGAACTGACACAGCAAGCAATTCAATGGACTAAGAGGAAAAGGAACACAACAGCAAATCTTGGAAGAGGCTACTACAGGGTTAAAAAGCTGGCTTGCCTGTGGTTAGCTGGGGGCGTTTCTTGCGCATAAACTGAAGGGCAGATATGTTGGATTTTTTGGCTAGAGTTTCATAAATGCAAGTATGCTCGGGATGGTGGTCATGATGCTGTGAGTCAGGCTGGGGTGCATAATTAGATTGTGATGCATAAGGTTGGTAATATGGATCCCAAAAATAAAAGGAATCCGAGTTCTTACGCAGGCTGGTGGAGGAAGGCCAATATCCGTTCTGCTGGTGTGGCTGCTGTCCAGACCACGGGTATATCTGATGGCCACCATTGGGATAGTAAGGTGTGGTTGTTGTGGTAGTAGTCGTAGTAGTAGTAGTGGTGGTCGTAGTTGCAGGCAGGGTTTCGTGATAATAATCACTATCACTTTCAAAACTACTATCATAGAAAGAGGGCCGCCTCCTGCTACCTCTTCTGTCTTGTGATCCCTTCATTGTCAGATGTTGCCCATAGTCATAGTTTGGGCTACGAACTGATGTGGGGCTCTTGCGTGGGGGAGAATCAGTGCCATACAAGACAAGAACCCAATCTCTCAATCTGTTTGGCCGATCTGAAACATAAGGACAAAGATAAAACAAGCACCAGTAAAATCAGAGCTCCAGCTGGAGGGCAAGGTATGGTCTACTCAGTGCAGTCATTTCTCCAGATTCACCAGCCATGAAATATTTCCTGTTACACAAATATTTCTAACAATATTCCTAACATAAAGTTGTTACTGGTTTGTTAATGCCTACATCATAAAACAGCAAGAACAGTAATACAGTCAATATCTTTGCCCAAAATAAGACAAATTGTGCATGCACATTTTACTGATACAAGAATATTCATGTTTACAAAGTTGGTGGCCAGCAGCAGTAGCCTAGCAGCTAGATGCTCACCTGTCAACCTAAAGCTCGTCAGTCTGAATCCGCATCAAGCTGGATTTGTTCCAGAGCTGACTTGACCCAAGCTTTAAAAAAAAAGTGTGCCAGGCAATTTACGGAGAAGTAAAGGCAGCTGGCCTGATGCTGACCATATGACCCTACTGAGAGCTGTTTGGCCTATACAAATGTAAGTCTAGCACTATATGCATCCAAGGCATGAAAAAAGTACTTACAGTTTTTTTACTTACAGTTACTACCTATTAACATCTATAATATAGTGTCATAAAGCATGCCAAAAGTTGCTGCCTTGGTATTTCACACATTTTAAATTTCAGTATGCAACTTTTACAAACTCTGAAAGGAACTCCTGTAGTTTTCATTTTCTGACACACACACACACACACAAATTAACAAAAACCTTCAAGGTATATTTCTTTAAAAAAATGTAATTATGGCAGTTACTAATATTTTTCGGTGCAAAAATGTTGAGGATGGCTAAATACCAACACATCATGCAAATAGTAAACTAAGTGAACATCCTCTGATATAATCCAATGGCTCACTGGCAACACATTCAACATCCCTTAACAACCAGCCAGGTTGAGAGAGTGCTTTAAATAGGTCAATTTACTTAGTTGATATGTCTGAAACTAACACTCCATACATTTCAATCAAATTATAGATTAGGTGTTTCTACACTGACAAGTCAAATTGTGGATAGATGCAGTGCACATGAACATGGATTTTTATAAATTATATCTGGCATTTTCAACACAAAAAGTAACTGATTAAAAGTATGTTCATCCGAGTAATTTTGTTCTCACATAATTTCTAGACCATGTACATAAAATACAATTGAAGGCAGTCAGTGTAATGAATATAATAATTAATTTACAGCAACAATATACTAGATGTGTGCTTCTTGGATCCAGGACTGCTTAGAATGTGGTGTCATGTAGCTTCCACGATTCCAGTCTTGGTTGGTCGTGGATGATAAGTGCTCACCCACTCCAAATTGTGTAGTTTCTCTTTTTGTTGGTTAACAGGACTTAGGTAGACTTCTCAATATCACAGAAGCACAGCTAAAGGCAATTTATGAACAATCAAATAACATGTTGCTAAACTACCCTAACAACAACTCTATACACACCAACATAAAGGAAATCCTCTATCTTGTATTTCCTTAAAATAGCAATAATCTCCTTCAGTCAATTCTGGCTACAATCTGGAAATAAAGTAAACTATGCCCTTCAACATCTGCTATAGTCAAAGTGTCTGTCTCGCAACACTAAGATCAAAATATATAAAACATTGATAAAACCAGTCATTTTATATGGCTCTCAAACTTGGAGCACAGCTAAAAGAGATGATGCCTTCTTACATGTTTTTGAAAACAGAGTCTTACGACGAATCTTTGGACCCATCAAAGATGCAAACAGCGGGGAATGGAGAGTCAGAAGCAACAATAAAATTCATAATCTGTTTCACCATTGATAACTGGCATCATGAGAACTAATAGACTGAAATGTCATATGACAGAGAAGTGAAAACTGCATACACCAGGGGGATGAATGGTCATAGACCACGAGGCAGACCAAGAAAACGATTCATTCATTCATTTAGTAGCATGTCCCTCGCGGAACCTCGCTGCCATAACAACCCTCCGGAAAACCTTCCTATCCTGAGCAAGATGTCCTACGTCTGATACACCCATCTGGAGATCATCTGCCACATCCTGCACCCATCTTCTCCTTGGCCTTCCTCTTCCTCTCTTCCCAGGCATATACCCCTCCATTATTGTTCTCTCTAGACTTCCATGACGTTTCAAGTGACCAAAATATTTCAATTTTCTTTGTTTTATTGTCTTTACTAGCCAACCCTCTTCAATATTCAGCTCTTGAAGTATGGATGCATTTGTTCTTTTCTTTACCCAAGAAAACGATGGAGAGATAATATCCCGATAGACCAGCAAACACTTGGTGTCACCAACGGGAAAGAGAAGGCCACCAGAGAGATGAATGGAGGCAGGTGATATCTGCAGCAATTAACCTCAAGGTCTCGGTATGCTGTAGAGGAAGCAGTCCTTTCTGGCTATGGATTAATAAGTGTGTCAGTTGATCAGCACATACTAGCGTATCTTTTATAGGATCTACTCTCCTCTGTGTGCTGAAGAAGTCTCCTTTAAAGAAGCCTTATAGATCTTTTAAATACAGTGAAGTACTTACTGTAAATCATTACCAATGCATACTCTAGGTCATACCATGAACAAGCAATAGTATTATAGGGATTTATGACAAAAATGGTAATAAATGGAAATCTGCATTTTGTGTAACACTAGCATAGTGGGTGAACAAATGAGACATTCTAAAAACCATTTATGAATGAACGCTGATAGAAGACATGAGGTCAGATGGAATAACATGCGGAAGAATGTGTGTACGAGGAATTAGGTGGGATCAGGCCAGACGGGACAAAGGAAAGAAAGAGAACGACGAGTTTATAATAACTGTGCTATGGGAACAGTTTGCACCTACACCTAGGATTTCTGCTGCTGGAGACGGAGCACCTATGGGTATGCCCGGTGCGGTGCTAGGATATCAGTTCCTAAATCATTAAATCAGTACCATAGTGGGTTTTGTCACCTAACATAATGAACAAACATTTTAAAAAGTGTTTTAAAGTATGTTATAACATATCCAGATAAAGTCATCCACTAATCAGAGATTCCAGTTCAGTTGGACTGAATGATGTAAGAAACTTACACACTAAAATGTCAAATTATTAAATATTAAATTATCACTTTATAACATTAAACTAATTATATAATATTTTTAAAAAATGTTAAACTGTGCTAAAAAAAAGCACTGGCAATAGCCCTTTTACACAATTGAAATCAATGACATTTTTTACAAATGTATTACAAAATTAATAACAATATTTAAAGCACAATTCCTCATATATATATATATTAACAACACAATTAATAACAAATTAACTACACAACAACACAAAAAAACGATAATTAAAGATAAGAAACAAACATCTGATATACATGTTGAAAAATTTATGTTGGGATTCTTAAAACTGAATAATCGAACTAAATAACTAATAAGTACAAATAAAAAATGTCTGTAAAAAAAACATCTTTATCCTTTCAGACATTATTAAATAAAATGTCCTTTCTGTCGGCTTAGTCATATTTCTAGTTTGCTCTATATTTTTCCTACCACTATCATAGTGTAAAAAATTAATGTTAACATTTATGTTATAAAGTGTAGACATAATTTTAAAGTGTCAGAAGTTAACAAAAATTATGTCAGAACACAAGAAAACAACAGAAAATTAAAAGACTGAACAGAGAAATTGGAAACAGTAATGTTAGTAATCATGGCGGGTAAAGCAAATCTATATTAATAAAAATCTTAATTTTCCGGTGTCGTTAACTCTAAACTACTGAACCGATTGCTTTCAAATTTGCACACAATGTTGCCTCTGACTCAAAGCGTTATTTTTGTCATAAAATCGCACAAACCACGAGCGACGTAGCTTCAGCAACAGTCAAATCATTATTTGTTTCATTGCCCGCCCGGGTTTATTTTTAATGAATTGGCAACACCGACCTTCACATTCTTATTATATACTTTTATTTCTTCAAAATGCTTGAGTATTCAGTTGCGTAGTTAGTTGTAATAATTTTGCTTTTTTACTCGGGTGATAGAGGTTCGATTCCCCGCTGGGTCATATAAATTTTTTTTTTTTGGGGGGGGGGGGGGGGGGATCTAACTGGGTGGCTGCCACGTTTTGTTGTGGTTTATAGCTAGGCTGCAGTATCTACGCTTTTTTTCCATTCAATTTTGGGGTTTACAGCTAGCCTGCGATAGCCGCGACGTGATGCTTAATGTTCATGTCACGGGTAATATTCGTTCGCCCTTGAGAGGGCGGTCGGCACGTTGTGTTGTGGTTTACAGCTAGGCTGCGATATCTGACCTTAAGTCTTCAGTCTTCAGTAGTAGAGTTGTAAGTATTCCGCCCTTCACGTGTATAACGGGTGTTCGATTCTTTTACATTTCTCATTTCTTAACTATTTTTATTTTAACAATGTCACTACATAATAATGTTTCAATCATTCGGAGAGGGAGATATAATTGGGCAGATGCTTGAGTCCTTGGTAGCGTAGTTGTCTATTTTGCGTGTTACGTGGGTGACTGGCGATCAATGCCCCGCTGGGTGATAAACAAAAATTTTTTGGCCTTAAACTAAGCACCTGGCACTTTTTGTTGTGGTTCACAGCTAGGCTGCGATATCTACGTCTTCTTTCTACTCGATTTGGGGGTTTACAGCTAGCTTGCGATAGCGGTGACAAGATGTTGGTCATGTCATGGGTAATCTTCGTTCGCCTTTGAGAGGGTGGTTGGAACGTTGTGTTGTGGTTTACAGCTAGGCTGCGATATCGTACCTAAACTCTTCAGTCTTAGGTAGTAAATTTGTACGTATTCCGTCCTTCACGTGGTTGACCGGTGTTCAATTACCTACTGGGTGCTAATTTTTCTTTTTCCCTCAAGAGTACTGCTGGCATGTTGTGTTGTGATTTACAGCTAGGCTGCCATATCTGCACCTTTCGCCCAAAGACATCAGATTTCAGTAAAGTCCCATTTATCCTCCCCGCAACGCTTCACTCGATAATAAA